TTTAACTGAATGACGTGTGTTTTTGTAACATATGTTAACATTAATGAAATTATTTAAGAGCAATAAACTCACTTTTCTGCAGCACCACACGGCCTTCAAGGTGCCATTTAATAATATCAATATCTGCCGAATGACTATCAGTTTTTTATATGATAAAAAACTACCTGTTACACTGAATGATCTCAGTTAAACTGCATTTTTGGGACAAAAGTCCCCTGTCGATTTAAATACTTAAAAAAAACAATAAGACATAGTCCTTTTAATATAACACAGCCAATACTTACTTGAAAATGCCAAGACAACAAATATATTTCTTAACTTGGTATTTTATATGTTTATTTAAAGATGTATTGGTAAAATCAAAGTCCGGATCATTACACTGAATGACAATTTTACACTTTGGAACATTATTTCAATCTCCACTTCAAAGATCTTGTGCATTGGCTACGGCCTAGAAGAAATTGTGTTTAGGGGGATAGGAAGGGCAAGGAATTAAATTAAAATCACAAGGAATGTTTCTGGTTCTTATTCCACTTAATGTTTCTAGTGTCCTAGTGATTAAATTGGCATACTTAGCACTTTTAAATATTAAAACATGGTTCCAACAATATAATGAACAAAAATTCTGCATTACACCAATTGTTTGAAATCCAATTACCATTTTTATTCAACAAAAATTTGTGATTGTTTATCTTAACTATAGATTATCATATTAACATCTAGTGAATTTCATAAAAAAAAAGATTTAGGATCAAAGTCAATGATTTAGGAACAGGATCTTAGACATGAATATGCAGATTGGACCCATGTGACACCCTTATGTCTATTATTTTAAGATGTGTAAATTGTTTTTGGGTGTTATGCTTCACTATTGAAGATGCTTTTGTGTTTTGTATTCAAGGACAGGCACTTTATTGATAGTTGAGCATCTGTTATATCATGTCCAAACCTTGAGAGACATTACACCGGATCATTCAGGGCTCAACGTTAAGGATTCAGATTATTACTTGCCCTGTCAACATTTTCACTGGCCCTGCCACAAAAAATTCAATTGTTGCCTTTATCATTGTTTTTGATCTGTTATTTATTTATTTGTTCTTTTATGAAACCAATATTTTAGATACCAATTACATTTTACAATTTACAATTTCGATACAACAACAAAAACTACTAGCCTGACAAATATAAAGTCCAATCATAATTAAAGACAAGTGAACAGTTAGTAAATAAGAACAAATGAACAAATTACAAACAATAGCACAACTGAATATATAGAACAAAGACACAAATTAAATAATGCTTTAGGATTTTATGTTTGTAGGTGTTCAGGTACAGAAATGGAATAAATCACATAAAATAACATGTCCATATTCTTCACTGTGTTGCACCTTGATTTTTCATAGCCATTTGAAATTAGTGATAACCACTGCATTTTAATCATGAATCGATAAAAAAAGATTATACACACGTGTAGCATGTGCAATGTTTGATTGAAATTAGACTGTATAATTTCAAAATTTGAAGCAAAAACAGAATGGTCTGACTTTAGCTTTGTGAAATGATGCTACATAAAACACCTGCATGAAACAGAAACAGCAGATGGGCTGAATGAGACGCTGATTCACTCTCTGACAGCAGGTGGCGCTTATGCAACAGCAGTGGTTACTGTTGTAAACAAAGCAGAGCTGTGCGTATTAGCACTACTTTAAATGCATTAAACCGAGCCAAGATGCAAAGGAAACGCCATGTAAACTTTTTCTGAAAACAGTCAGTTCCCCTCAGAAACACATCCATACAAAATTCAATATTTAGGATTTTCTTCTTATATTTCACATTGATCTTGCGCTGCCTGCTACAGTATTTTCTCCTCTTTGCATTCATCTTCAGCGACGCGGGCCTCTGTTAACGGCCGTTTACAGGCTAAATATAATATTAACGTAAAAAATTTCCACACAAATGATATTTTGAAAAAAAATATTGCGATGCAGTTTGTGTGCAAGCACGGAACAGAGATAGTCTGAAATAAAACAAAAAAAATGCCCGGTCGATCGGCGCATCTCTACTCCACTGTATAAATTAAATCTAGATTAATCATTGTTAAAGCTACAAAGTTACTCACCAAGACGGGTATTTTGACATACTTTTGTATGTATTTGTCCGTTCAAACGCTAGAAAGACGTGGAAAGAAACTTAACTCTGGTCTCTGGCGTCAGAGACGTTGCTGTCTGTGCACTGAATTAAGTTTTTTGTGACGACGCGGCAGTGTCCCGATCGTGCCAGTGACAAATCCGTCAACTGTCCCGAGCATCTTTCACGCTGGCCCCGGGCCATCGGGCAGTCCTTATTGCCGAGCCCTGTCATTTGTTATTTCGCTTGAATGTCCTATGGACAAAGCAGAAATTCCTGATTTAGAAGATGACCTTGAAAGATGAACCTGGTTTCTTGTAATGATAGCCCAACACAGTGTCTTATAACAAGAAGAAAGCACTTTTAGGAACGAACAGTTTCCACAAAGAAACCTTCATTAAAATATCTCCGTTTATGTTACAGCTCTAATGAGGTCACTGAGGATTGCTACGCAGCAAGATCTGTATCTTAACAACATTTAGATAAAAGAGGCATAGTCAAACTAACTTATATCCTCATATGATCTGAATGTTCTACATGTTGGTGCTCTCATAAAACCCCATTAGGTGAAACAGCAACACCGGATTAAAAGTCTGTTGATATTAACAAGCACATTCACTCCCGGGTTTATTTTCTATAGTGCTAGTGTTGCTATAGTGATAGATTATTTTCCACTCTCACTGAATTCAGATATGGCTCGTCTGTTGCATGATGGTGGTTTTATACTGCAGGGCTCTACGCTTACTTTTCTTTTTAGGAGCACTTGTGCTCCTAACTCTGTTAACGGCCGTTTACAGGCTAAATATAATATTAACGTAAAAAATTTCCACACAAATGATATTTTGAAAAAAAATATTGCGATGCAGTTTGTGTGCAAGCACGGAACAGAGATAGTCTGAAATAAAACAAAAAAAATGCCCGGTCGATCGGCGCATCTCTACTCCACTGTATAAATTAAATCTAGATTAATCATTGTTAAAGCTACAAAGTTACTCACCAAGACGGGTATTTTGACATACTTTTGTATGTATTTGTCCGTTCAAACGCTAGAAAGACGTGGAAAGAAACTTAACTCTGGTCTCTGGCGTCAGAGACGTTGCTGTCTGTGCACTGAATTAAGTTTTTTGTGACGACGCGGCAGTGTCCCGATCGTGCCAGTGACAAATCCGTCAACTGTCCCGAGCATCTTTCACGCTGGCCCCGGGCCATCGGGCAGTCCTTATTGCCGAGCCCTGTCATTTGTTATTTCGCTTGAATGTCCTATGGACAAAGCAGAAATTCCTGATTTAGAAGATGACCTTGAAAGATGAACCTGGTTTCTTGTAATGATAGCCCAACACAGTGTCTTATAACAAGAAGAAAGCACTTTTAGGAACGAACAGTTTCCACAAAGAAACCTTCATTAAAATATCTCCGTTTATGTTACAGCTCTAATGAGGTCACTGAGGATTGCTACGCAGCAAGATCTGTATCTTAACAACATTTAGATAAAAGAGGCATAGTCAAACTAACTTATATCCTCATATGATCTGAATGTTCTACATGTTGGTGCTCTCATAAAACCCCATTAGGTGAAACAGCAACACCGGATTAAAAGTCTGTTGATATTAACAAGCACATTCACTCCCGGGTTTATTTTCTATAGTGCTAGTGTTGCTATAGTGATAGATTATTTTCCACTCTCACTGAATTCAGATATGGCTCGTCTGTTGCATGATGGTGGTTTTATACTGCAGGGCTCTACGCTTACTTTTCTTTTTAGGAGCACTTGTGCTCCTAACTTAAAAAATTTAGGAGCATATTCAAAATTTTAGGAGCACCTTCTAATCAATAATCCAAAATTGTATAAAAAATGTGCCTTCCCATTACGAGGGGATATTTGACTCCTTAAAGTGATTTACAGTGGAATTTAGTTTTTTACCTTTGTAATGGAATTTTTCTAACTTTATTAAAAGTATGTCGTCATCTGTCAAATTCTTTAAAAATGATATTTGATAAGCCTTTTAAAAATTCTAATTAAAACGACAGAATAAGAACAAGTAGAATAAGAAACATAAGTTACCAATGAAATGAAATCAGTATTAACAAAATTAATTTGTAGAGGTGGCACAGAAGAACACAAAAGTGGCTTGGTGTACTTTCAGACATTTAATAAGGCTGAAAGGTGGCATGAGAGCAATTAAATCCATAAATTCATGATGAGATTAATGTTTTAAATATAAAAATTTTAATATAGAAATATTAAATGATTTAAATAACTAAAAATATACTTTAAAATTAAACTAAAACTGCCAGCATGTGGTGGCAAGTCACTGATTATATCACTGAATCATTCATTCAATTGATTAATTCGAACGGCTGATTCATTCAGAAATGAAGCAAGTGACTGTCTTTATGAATGCGTAATCATGAGTCACTGACTCACTAGATTCGTTTAAAAATGCCCGTTCATTCATAAACTAAACACAGCTGTGTTTGAATGGAGATGCGCAGCGGCTCCGCTGTGTCTGAGTTTTAAACAATTTTCGATGACGAAATAGAGCAAAATCAGACAATAGTGTTATAGTCAGACAATGTAAGTCACTTAATATTAACTTCTTGTTTATTGAACTGTTGTATTAAATCAGTATCACATTGAGTTGAGTTGGTTTGTTTGGTTCTTAGCTCTGTATTGAATCATTGTTTTTAAACGTTTGAAGAAAATGTTATTGTTGTTATTACATTTTAATATACATTTTATATGATTAATTTGCCTTTATCAGTCATTGGCCATCCTACTGTTTAGATATTGGCATTGGCCATTAAAATGTAATTTTGGTCAATCTCTAGTGTGGATGAATGCTACTTCACAGTTATGCTCCTCTGCTCCTCAGATCATTGGTATTGGGCTATGTGGAGTGTTTGAGCTCATCAAAGAGACTCGTTTCTCGCACCCGTCACTGTGCTTACGGAGCCTTCAGGCACTTCTAGATATGCTCCAGGGGCAGCAGCCGGAGAGCTTTCAGACCGAACCTCCAGATGTGCTGGGTGAGATGCCTTGTCCTGTTCAAATAAAGTGATAACATATATAAGTGAGTCTGTATGTTTTAATCATGACTCCACCGTTGGCCCTGCAGAGTCTCTCTTTCATCTTCTGCTGGAGACAACGGTGCGGAGCACAGGGATGAACGACCCCACCGGTCAGACCCTCACAGCGCTATCCTGTGCCTGCCTCTTCAGCCTGGTGGTGGCCTGGGGAGACACTGGCAAAATCCTCCAGGCTGTGTCTGCCATTCTCACCAACAATGGCAGTCATGCATGTCAGACCATCCAGGTGAGTCAGTGTTTTGAGATTGCATGTGTTTTGAGGAAAGTAGCTTCTTCCACTGATGCCGCTGAACTGTTTCTAGATAGATCTTATTAAATAGATATTATTCCTTAACACTAGAAGATCTAATGATAAAAGTAAAATGTGGTGAAGTCTGTCAAATTTGTGCTGTTTCTGGCTGTGTGTAGCACCCACTAGTGTTGTTTTTGGCGGCCTATTTTAGTTTTAGTCTAGTCTTTGTGTGAAGCTGTCATTTTAGTTTTTATTAGTTTGTCACGTTCATACTCATTTTAGTCTAGTCAAGTTTCAGTCAACTAAAAGTCTGAGCATTTTAGTCTTATTTTAGTCAGAATTATCTATGACTATTTTCGTCTAGTTTTAGTCGACGAAAACTGATGACATTTAGTCTAGTTTTAGTCAATGATAATTATATTTTAGTCTCTTTTTAGTAATGCAATTCTATAGGTATAAGTACCTAGTAGTATAGACGAAACCAACATTTTCATATAGCCAAACCCATTTCAAACAAGGTTATCTTATTATATTATTGTTACCTTATAGACTCAACAATACATCCATTCCAGACACGGAGAACGCTTTGATTTGAATTTACAACATTTATTTTACCGACCAAACATGTTAGAAGTACACACACATACATTTAAATAAAATAAATAAAAACTATAAATAAAATAAAATAAATAAAATAGCATCACATGGCAATGCCAGAAAAAAATGAATACATTCAAGTGCCTGCCTCTTCAGCCTGGTGGTGGCCTGGGGAGACACTGGCAAAATCCTCCAGGCTGTGTCTGCCATTCTCACCAACAATGGCAGTCATGCATGTCAGACCATCCAGGTGAGTCAGTGTTTTGAGATTGCATGTGTTTTGAGGAAAGTAGCTTCTTCCACTGATGCCGCTGAACTGTTTCTAGATAGATCTTATTAAATAGATATTATTCCTTAACACTAGAAGATCTAATGATAAAAGTAAAATGTGGTGAAGTCTGTCAAATTTGTGCTGTTTCTGGCTGTGTGTAGCACCCACTAGTGTTGTTTTTGGCGGCCTATTTTAGTTTTAGTCTAGTCTTTGTGTGAAGCTGTCATTTTAGTTTTTATTAGTTTGTCACGTTCATACTCATTTTAGTCTAGTCAAGTTTCAGTCAACTAAAAGTCTGAGCATTTTAGTCTTATTTTAGTCAGAATTATCTATGACTATTTTCGTCTAGTTTTAGTCGACGAAAACTGATGACATTTAGTCTAGTTTTAGTCAATGATAATTATATTTTAGTCTCTTTTTAGTAATGCAATTCTATAGGTATAAGTACCTAGTAGTATAGACGAAACCAACATTTTCATATAGCCAAACCCATTTCAAACAAGGTTATCTTATTATATTATTGTTACCTTATAGACTCAACAATACATCCATTCCAGACACGGAGAACGCTTTGATTTGAATTTACAACATTTATTTTACCAACCAAACATGTTAGAAGTACACACACATACATTTAAATAAAATAAATAAAATAAAATAAATAAAATAAAATAAATAAAATAGCATCACATGGCAATGCCAGAAAAAAATTAATACATTCAAGTTTAACAAGGTGCTTTAATGCTCGAGCTACAGTAACATACTAAAAAGTGCAAATAAAATGTGTGTCTGTTACTTGTATTGCTTGTAAACTGAAGTAAAATTTTGCATCATAAAAACTATTAAAAGATACTAATTACGTCACGGGTAGTACCAGTTGTGCTGGTTAGACCCTGCTCCGGAGTAGGAGCTAATTTGGTTCTCGAAAAAGGCAGTCCGGTACTAAAATCGCACCCAGTTCCTGCGGTGCGAAAACGCCAAAAAGTGGGTAGTTCCACAATTAGTTCTGGTACTTTGAAAAGGTTCCCGCGGTGCGAAAGGCCTTACTCTGTGTCAGACTTAACTTTGTTTGTTGTCGTCTTCTAAATAATGCCGCGAGTGGGGCTTGAGGAAGTGACGTCGCCTACGCAGTGCGACCTGATGCAGCCCCTGAAGTGAGACACAGGAAACAGAAATACTGAAAATTATAATAATAACGCGACTAAACGAGACGAAATAATGTTATAACATTTCGTTTCGTCTCGTTTTGGTCAACGAAAAAGAAGAGACATTTTAGCATAGTTTTTATTTTGTAAACCACATTTAGTCTCGTTTTTATTCGTCAACAATATTGCATTATACATTTAATTACAGTCATCGTCACATGACCAGCATTTACGTTGCGTCTCGTCTCGTTTTCGTCACGTGATAAAGGTTCATATTTAGTCATAATTTTCGTTGACGAAAGCAACACTAGCACCTACAGCTCTGCATCTCCTTTTAAAGGATCCAAACTTCAGAAAGCAGTACCTGAAGTTTTAAAAGTTTAGTGGATTTCTGGCTTGGCAAGTGAGGTTGAGATTTTAGACTGCATAAAAAGCTGCTGTTCGTCTGAAGTCAGGATGTCAGCACATTACCGCTCATCTCTCAGCGTGCGATAGCCAGAACCGCAACTGCATGTGGAGGTCAACAATTGAATTGCCTGGAAATGTCAAAACTCTCTGATTTCCTGTCTTTATTATATTATTCTGCCAGCGCAGAGTCCCTCAGACAATTACTCCTTAGTCTTCTACCGTCTGCATGATATAGGTCTGTCATTTTTTTTTGCTTATTTAAATGTGGTTTAATGCTCTCTGTCAGTGTCACACTGATTTAGACATCGGAGAAGTTCATTTGTTGTTACCACGGTAACTACAACCTAATTGGAGCATGAGTAACTTGCATAGCTTGTGTAAAGTGTGATATCTGAGCCGTCGCTCACTGTCAGTTTACAGTGCACACGTCCAACTTAAAGTGGTTCAGAATGAAACTGAAGAACAGGCAAATGCTGCCGTGTATGTCCAGATCAAGTGCTTTGCAGAGCTTAACGATATTTTTCAGCTTTTTAATGATATAATAGATGTATGTATATATATGCATTTGCTTTTAAATGTCTTATTTATTTATTATTTTTTTTGTAATCTGAGAAATTCATTTAAACCAATCAGCCATTGTTGCCCAGTATGTACATGTTTAATGCACTTAAGTAAAATACAATGAGAATATATTTTAAAATAATGAAGGCATGCGTTCCACTTCGTTTACGACTAAATGGACTTAAGCATAAACAATATTTAATCATTTTAATTCATATTCACAAATATAATGTTTCATGGTAGTAAACATCAATATTTGCTTGAGCAAATCGCTGAATCATGGATTTGAATCGATTTATTGACATGGATAGTTTGAAATGAATAATGGAAATAATTCGAGAGCTGGCAGTGTAAGACTTGAGTTGAAGTTAAAGAACAGAGAAGAGTACTTCATCCTCTGGAGAGCTAGTGCAATAAAACTAAATGGCATTATTGACTGAAGAGTCATCTAAAGCAATAACATTGATGTTCTAGAATATCAATAAAGCTCTTTGTCATCTATAGCATCACTCATCAATACTGGTGTAACAATATTCAAACCGAACCGAAAAACCACGATACACCACCCACAGTACATACCCCGCGATACTCTCTTGGCCTTCCCCGCCCCTTGCTGAGACACTTTAAGCACGGACGACCATGATGGTTTTGGATTGCTTGAATCACTTCGGTATCATTACACCCCTTCTTATCAAAGCACCTTACTGCCATCGGCTGAACTCTATGGCGGGGTCAGCGAAGACAGACACAGTTGTTTATGTTAAATAAAGATCAACATAAATATTAAACGGGGAAAATAAAGTGTCCTGGGGATGAAATGTGACATAGCTGAAGGGGGCATGCTGTCCTTCTGGTGAAAGCCCGGTAAAGGTCAAGGAGCGCAGAGAGGGGTTTGGTAGGGCTTTATCTTAATTTCACACAGTTAAATGAACAACCAGTCACTAACTACATGGGCCATGTAGTTTTGGATTTTGTTTTCCCTTAATAATAAAAACTTCATTTAAAAACTGCATGTTGTGTTTACTTGTGTTATCTTTTACTAATATTTAAATTTGTTTGATGATCTGAAACATTAAAGTGTGACAAACATGCAAAAAAATAAGAAATCAGGAAGGGGGCCAACACTTTTTCACACCACTGTATATAGATGTAAGTCTCACAAGCCTTAAAGTACAACAATAAGACCTCAACACTTGTTCATTTTGAAATGTAACTTCACTGAGTGAGTCATGCCAGTGTTATTCAGCCACGGGGTGAGTCATTTGGCTGATTCAAACCAATGACAAACCAACCAAGTCGTTTAGATCAATGCCAATTTTTGCCCTGCTGAAATTTTCACTGGCTTCTACACAAAAAAGTTTTTGTTCTGTTTTTTTTGACCCATGTAACATTGTGTTTTAATAAATAAGGTTGTTACGACACCAACATTTTAAATATAATAAAAAATGTCCCAATACTTGATTCCAGTTTTGAGGCCACAGTGAAAACTACAAGCCAACTAATAAGTTCAAACATTATTAAAGACAAGTACACTGAAAACGCTCTAACAGTAGCATTCAGGTACAGTATGAAATACAACAGAAATCGAATAAAGTTATCAAATGTAAGGTAGGCTATATTAGGCTGCTGTCATTTTAAGACCTACAGTGAAAAAAAATGGTGCTGGATTTATTTTGAAACAATTTTTACTCCGAAATTGCTAGACTAAAGTAGTGTACTCATATAATTATTTAAATTATTATTTTTTTTTTATACAGTGTTTTGCACAGATTTAATATACTGTTGCACATCCATTTTCACTTATTTGTTTACATTCACTTAAGACATAACAAACAATTTTTACTCCGAAATTGCTAGACTAAAGTAGTGTACTCATATAATTATTTAAATTATTATTATTTTTTTTATACAGTGTTTTGCACAGATTTAATATACTGTTGCACATCCATTTTCACTTATTTGTTTACATTCACTTAAGACATGACTATGTTTACAAGGATACTCAGCAGAACAAGCATTTTGACATTTTTGTCCGTTTAGGTGCAAGAAGGCACAGAAAATAATTCTGTATTTGTGTGCTTTCTCAAGAGGAAGGATTCTCAAGAACTGTTTAAGATGTTTAACTATTTTCAAGAACTATCTGACCTGACTGTATTTGTGTAACAAAAGGTTCCAACAATCCTGAACGCTCTTCAGAGGAGTGTGCAGGCTGTGTTGGTGGGAAAGATCCAGATCCAGGACTGGATTGGGAACGGCATCAAACGAGCTGCACTGATGAACAAATGGGTCCTGAAGGAGGTGAACATTGATGAAGATGAACGCTGTCTTCTTCAGACTGATGGTTCCTTCCTGTACCTGCTCTGTAAAGATGGCCTCTTCAAAGTGGGCTCAGGGTACAGTGGCACTGTGCGGGTGAGAACATTCTTTATTTAGCTGATTACACAATGGAAATGATATAAGTTCATTTTGCTAAGCTAGTTCTCAGAGTAAATAAATAGTTCAATTATTATCTGTAACTAATTAGTAATTACTAGTGATATGCGCCAGCATTTCAGAAATATTCATTAAATATTCATATCAATTAATATGAACATCGAAAATATTTTTACAGCCATTGTTTTAATGTTTATATTTCAACAATGAATATGGTGTAGAAACATAATTATATAATTAAAAAGGTGGTATAACACATCCTTATGTGCAGTTTGAATGTTTATATTCAACTCAGACTTTTATTTGACAGGTGCCTCTCCAGTTTTGAGATTTGTGAAGTCGTGGTTGTAGTTTAGTGCTGATGCAGCAGGTTGTGTATCCTTGTGTTTGTGTGGGTGCTAATTAGGGATGTCAATTTTCGATCATTTCCATGATCGATCGTCGTTTAAATTAACGATCAATTAATCGATTAATCGTTAACCTTAATACTG